AGATCCGGATTAAACTGCTTAATTGTCTATGTGTGCTCAAGCCAGCCATATATATTAGATTATATGCATAACTTGGTTTTGCAGGAAATAGTTAATCCACTATTATGGCCATCTTTTATGTGCTTGTGCTTGATTGATGGTTGGTTGTATGGTTTTAAATTTGTTTTTAAAGCCTCGGGATTGTCGAGGAATTATGGATGAATGCTTGTATTAATTGCCCGGGGGTTGACCAGATAGTTTAATTAATTAGTAGAAGGCATGTACATCCACTCGTTGGATCTAGGAATCGATTTATGTAATTTTGTAAATTATATTTTTCGTATTGTGATCGACCGTTAGAGACCGGGCCTTCACAAGGATCCAAAGAGACTCGACAAAGCAAGGAAGAAACCGGAGCCGGGAGCCAAGTGGGCGGCGCGGCCGCAGCTTCTAATTAGAAAGGAAAATTGAGGCAGAGCTTTCACTCGCTACACGATATATCCCAGGAGGATAGCATATCCCAGAAGGATAATGAATATTTATATAAAATATGTGATGTGGTGGTATGATGTAAATATAACGAGATTATGCTCATGGGTTTATGCAGAGACCCGCCCATATATTCATTTAGATAAGTTTTCTCATTATCAATGATTCCGCAAGTTATTTATGGCAGCATTATTACCATGACTATTGAGTCATATGTGAAAGTCCTGGATGGACTCGAGTACCCGAGATGAAAGATAATTAAATAATAAATAGCTTATTTATTTGAAGTTGTTGGTAAGATGTGGTACAACCAACTAAATTCTTCCAGAAGAAGTAAAGTAAGAAAAATTCAAGGTAGAACCTTGTGTATAATGATAATATACAAAATGATCATCTCGGTCAAATAGACTATGTGGTGAACACTATTTAAAAGATTAAATAAGTTAGCTCATGCTTAATAAATAAACAAATAAGTTCCAAATGGACTTGAAGTCCACAAACCACATGAAGTTTATTTATTAAGCGCAATTGTGCTGAACTTTTATCTCGCAAACTGCATCAGACCTGATACTGAATTTGTGATGAATTTGCTGGCAAGATTTATTAAATCTCTCCTTAGAGAGATATCGTGATAAATATTGAGAATATCCCATTATTCTTCATGTATGTTGAGTTATCTTTGGACTTGATATATGATATTGGTGGATAAGGACATCAATTATATAATTGATCCCCGAAGTATGGGTCCTCAATTGGTTATATACCTTTCAAATGGTATTAACTCTTTACCATTGGTCATTGAAATTTCCCCATATTTATCCTGAAGATAACTTAGTTTGTGTTACACGAATAAATTATATAAATACATTTGATGATATTTTTGAATCTATATCAACTCCCGAAG